AACAATCCTTGAAACTATCTGAAAACAGTTTTTAAACCTATAATCTCAAATTAATAATCTATTGTAGTGTAAAAGGTCCAGTTTCTAAGGGAATAAACCATGACATGGCATTTAGTGAGATCTTACAAACATTTTCAATCGATTCCTGTCTGCATCGTTTTATCAACAGTATACCAACCAAAACTCCGATGTAAAAGTCTTAGATGTAAGTTGATTTACATCATTTAGATTTTAAAATAAAAAAGTGGTTTTTCGCAGAAATATATATATTGACTTCCACGAACAATACTGTACTTCAAGATAAAATATTATGCATCTAAAATCTATGAGTTGGCTGGAGGGGTAGCAAAACACAGGATTTCAAGTGAACATGGAGAGGACAAAGGTGATAAAGATAGCCAACTAACAACAACAAATATCAATCACTACCGGCAGAAGAAATTTGAACGAGGTCACCTTTCTAGGCGGTATCGTTTCAAATATGCTCCAGGTAGACCCTTCGACAAAACCCGAATCGGAAACGGTGAGTTGGGCATCCAAGGGCGACATGGAGGAGGTGAGAGCATACGGTTAGCTGTGAGGCCAGCTAGCTAAAGGTGACTGCAGAGAACAGGACAAAATAGTGATGCACTGCTGAGGTCCTATGTTCCACTCGTAACCTAATGGAATATTAATGAAATAAAACCTATGGGAATAACTGTTTACCACTTGAAGAACTGCATTATTTCAGAATAACTGTGACACAGATAGGTCATACTGATCATTTTTTCCACCCCAAGTACTTTTTCAATACACCCTGGAATAAAGCAAAGAGAATACAACTTTAATCCACTAACTGAAAAAAGGCGATCTAAATACGCTATTTAAAAACCTCTAGTATTTCATTAGTTGTTAAAATTACCAGATAAAATATGCTAATGCAGTAAAGTTTGAGGTAACATTGTATAAACGCCTGTGTCGAAATTAGTGCTGATATATTCCATTTACTTTCAGTCGATTGGGATTTAGGAAAATACCTCGCAGAAAACACAGAATAAATAAACTGATTAATTTTACAGTGACATGGTCTTTTACATTCAGTGTCGTTCGGTCTACTTTCCACCATGGTATGGTTGATCCAATTATTTGATAACTTGCCATAAATGCAAATAATGTTAAACTGGCTTTTTTATTATTTAAAAGCAATTAATACAACTCAGTTATTTTCATAAATGTATACTGAAGAGTTCACTGTGTTAATGACAGGGTTACCATTACTAAATTACCAAGCTTGCAGACTATGTGGTGCTACTATACTTTCTGAAATCACTGAATAAAAATCGAATACGGCAGATGAATCATGGTGAATATTTCCTTCAGAGCATTTGCTTTGTGAAAACCATCAGCGCGGTGGTATCGTATTTTAATATCATGACATACTGGTATACTAAACAACTTATGTCTGAGACTTGTACAGTGAACTAAGATCTTTTTCAGACATGTGATTCTAATGATAAATTCCGATAAAGCAAGACCCACTCAGTTAGCAAATTGAAATCCTTTCCTTCAACCAAAACAAAGATAATGTGAATTTCAAGTGAGAACTGCCATTTATAAGTCATTTTATGCAACTTTCAACGTCACACACTATTAGAGAGAGACTTTTTATTGAAGTGGCTTTATTTCAAGTTTCATCAAGGACTGATGTCAGACAGACAACAACTGGAAACCAGGGAATTATTATTATTATTGTTCCCTTGGGTTCCTAGTGGAACATAAGGCTTCAACTACACGTCTCCACTTGCTTCTGTCTTCTGCCGTACTCTTCACTTGCGTCCATATTAATTCATACTGTTTCAACTCTTCTTCACACGACCTTCTTCATGTCACCCTTGGACGTCCCACTCGCTGCTTCCCTTTCGGGTTCCACTCGAGGGCGTGACGCGCAATGTCACCCAGCGGCCTCCTCAGCCAGTGTCCAATCCATCTCCACTTTGGAAACCAGGGAATGCTGAACACTTATTTTGTTCTAGTTTATAACTCTTCAAAAGTATGCTAACAGTGGCTAAATGGCCTATGAATTTGTCTTGGAAATGGAAGTCTCTAGGTTCGAAATTCGGCAGGTGCGTGGTAATGAAGAACCCCAGAGTAGGAAGAAACATATATCTAGTGCTTCCTGGTTTTCAATGGTTGTCTGATTAACATTAGTCAGTGGTCTGATATGAAACAAATCAAATCCCTACAAACTAACTGTTGCAAAGTGTCTTTAATTTTGTTTTCCTGAAGCCAATGATTGGATGAACACCTTTCATGAACTAACTAAGTGAATACTTATTATTGCTGCTTCAACAGAATAGCTTGAAGCGTTTGATTGTAATGGCTAATATAAAGTGCAATACATACATGGTGTAAGTAGTATTTTAATTCAGTTAACCTTCTGAGTAAGCTGTGTCTTCACACTCTTTACTGTTGATTCACTGACAGGACCACATAGAAAATGAAAGTCATGTGGAAACAACCTACTAGGTTGCATAGACTGATCACCAAACAAAATACTGAACACATTACACTAATTACTAACTAGTGCCCAATCAAAGCATCCACTACAGTCCTACAGGAGGTCATTCTCAAGCTCGAATAGCTCCGTGGTAACATCTCTGACTGCACCACTGAGTGGCATTTTTTCGAATCGCAGGGGAAGGGACATGAACTGATCCAACATTGCAAGTACACCTTGCTGTTTAATGAGTGCTAGCAGGCACGAAACTGAGGTTGACTAGGGCTTAGTGTAGATTGTGTCCAACCACCAAATGACAACCTACTAAGTTGCACATTCTGCGATACATACCTAAGCTTTAAATGTGTCAATAGTAGCTAATTTGAAAAATTTTACGGTTTCTGTCCCCAAAGATAACAATTCAGTTGCAAACAGAAGTCAAATTTTGCCGTTCTAGGAAGAAAAGGAATTATTTTCTATGCCTACTGACATTAGTTTTACTGAGTATGAATTTCTCCTTTTCATTTAATCATAAACACCGTTACATAAGAGAATGTTAAATAGCTACTCAGTTATACAGGATGTAGCGGTGTCCAAAATTCAATACCTTAATTCTATCTCTCTGAATTTAGGCTCATTGGCTTGCGCGCTCAGATCTCATTAAGAAAACAAATAGAAACAAGTCGTAAATTGCCTCTACATAAATAAGTTCCGCATATAGTACGTGAGTTACATGCATAAAAATATATATATTAATGACTATTAAGTTATGAGAGTAAACACTCATTTCCAGATAAACAAATCTATTCACGGAACTAATAATCAGTTATATTAAAATAACTTTAGCAGCTAAAATAATGAAATTAAAATTTTTCTACACTTTAAGAAGACATCTCAGTTTGTTTTAAAATATCCTACTTTGCGATCGATAAATAGCATGTTTTAAGGACTTTTTCACTGAATAACTCAAACCTTTAATCTCTTATTCATGCAGTGATTAGTAAATGTTTTCCTTCTTTATTTTAAAGAACAAATGAAGGTGTCATGTGTTTATCTGCCTAATACGAAAACTAATTAATTAATGACTTTTCTGGGTAAACAGAATTCTGTCTCTTCTGTTTCTCATCATCTGTGTCCATCTCTGCTCATTACTACTACTACTACTACTATTTTATAATTAGCTATAGGTCATCCAGAAAGGATTTCATTCACTCAATCAATAGTCTCTGTGTACTTTAAAAAGGTGTTAGTTAACAAAACATCTATCATTAAAATGACCTGAACAAAAGTTGATTAACGCTTTCAAAGTCTGAAAGTTTAAATCCATTCTTTTCAGAAAAAAAGGATTTTATTTCAGCTTGAATTCATTATCTAGAAATGTTCATTAGTTCATCTTGTATTCTTCTTTCATCCCTTTGCATTTCGAGTGGACTTTAGGCTGAAGCTTTGAAGTTTCATTAACAGGAGTGATTTTTCAAGCAGTGTGGATGCTATTTACACTCCTGATCTTCCCTCCTTTCCGAGCTTACTGTAAACTAGTAAACTAGGCAGTTTGGAAGTGCTTCATATGAAAGGAGCTGGAAGAACCTGACCACATGTGTGCTTATTAAACATTCTACCAGTGAACCACCTCCTTACTGTGTATTGGTTTAGCTCAGCTAGACAGTTGCTGTCAAACTACTAGACAGAATCAATTCTGATTTAAAAGCATAAAGATGTTTTCATAATAAAAACACTTGGTAAGTACCATTCAAAAGCTGAATATCCAGTATCACTGAACATAAACTTGTATAATGTGTCAGTGTGTCAGTATATGATACTTCAACACTCCATTTAATCGTCAAGTGTTCGTTTGCAAGGACTTGACTAGCTACAGGTTCGATCACGAGCTAACATCAGTTAAAGAACCATTGGAAAACCAGGGAGTACTGGACAACTGTTTCGTCCTAACTTGGGACTGTTCAGCAGTGCATACTCACTGGAGTACAAACCGAGGACCATTCAGCCACTGACAGCGTACTGATAAGGAGTCCCTAGCTTGAACCGAATAGCTGTCTAGTACTCCCTGATGTCAGTTCGTGATCAAACCTGTAACTAATCAAATCCCTATAAACATACGCTTGATAATTAATCTGGTCCTCATTAGCCACCGGTTATATACAGGAAGTTACCTGGAGTTCTAGTGAGAAGTCGTAACCAGAAGGGTCCATCAAGTCAGGTAACAGAGCAGTTAATCGCCTATGGCACTGGTTGACAGTTGCGCTAAATATGGCGTATCCACATGAGTTGAAATTCATGGTGTTCCTTCGTCACTGGTCAAGATTTCTCATTAGTACTATCGATAATCCATCTCATGTTAGTCATTCATGTACATTAGATATATTGGGTTTGTATGGGTTCGATCAGCTTTTTCCCAAAACTGCACTTTTGTTGAATATTTGACAATCACTATGAATTAGTGAGCAGAAATAATTCTTATTGGCGAATACTGGTATTAATTTTTTATTTTAATACTAAATTTCAGCTATTCTAGCTCAACCACAATGTACTCATCGTTATTTAAACAATGTTCAATCATTTAAACAAAATTACACTACAAATGATAATGAAAAATGGCTTCTTGGTACTCCAAATTGTACACTATTGTCAACAAAACCAACTCTATATTCAGATGGTGATCATACTAACGACAACACTAATAATAACAACAACAGTGATAGCAATATAACTTCATCAACATTCCCTGAAAATACTACAGCACAAATCAATCTTTGTTCACTTGAAGACCATTGTAACAATAACGATGTCAATAATCATAATAATAATAATAATAGTAATTTAAATGAACAAATAAAATCTGTTTATCTGTGTGATAATGAACAAGTGAACAATACAATGCATCATACATATACACCATTGAAGTGTAAACAACATTCCATTGGTACACCAGAGAAAAAGTATAACAGAGACAATCATAATTCCAGTTTTGTTTAAATTAATCAAGTCAAAAATGTTTTAAATTGCTTTTTTCCCTCTTATTGTATGTTTTCTTATTATTATTGTCATACATACTTATGCAAGCAAAGCCTCTTTCCTTCAAAAGTATGAATGAATGTTAGTGTAATCCATCGGGTTAATAATCTGCTCTCTTATTCATACTTTTTTATCTTTTGCACATTCTGTGGCATTAGTACCCGTCTCTTCGTGTGTTTTTCTTTTGCTCGCTTTTTTTTCATTTTCAAGCCATACTACTAATTTCTTTCATTTTCCCCTTTTGTCTTTAAACAATTAATTTCCTAAAAATAACTATCAAGTAAAAAGTTATGTATGTAGAGGAAAAAGGCAAAGTAATTCGAAAAACTTCTTCACAATCTTAAATTATTATTTTTCTTGCATAAATATAAGACAGGAAAAAAGAATAATAAATACTTCAACACTTTTAATGCATCAATTGCGTACATAAACACACACGTAGCGAGGGAGAGAGAAAGAGCGCGCGCGCGCAATAAATTACAAATAATTAAAAACTGTTAATATGAGATATTTACTCTTTTGTTTCGCAGTTGACACATTTTTCTACATGGATTATATAATAAGTTCAAAATCATGTATAACTGCAGTAAAATCTATAAAAAGAACAGAATAAGACATTTATGTATTATATGAAGTATGCGAAGACAAAAAGTATTACACAATATTCTCTTTCTCTCTCTCTCTCCGTATCTTTATTATGATAACACTAATCAGTATAGCAATCTAATGATGATATTATTTATGTATGTGTCTTAAAACTTATATACATTCTTAGTGATAACAGTATATACGTATATGTATATATATATATATATATTGATTCGCATTCATTTTGCCTTTTAAATACTAAGTCATAACATTTTTTTAATCTAGCAATTTGAAGAGAGTTGTAATGACTGCAACGATAATAATTCTAAGAAAGAAAATAAGTCAGTAGATAATGGTGGGCTGTGGCTAAAACTATTCCTATACTTTTGTGTTAAATACTGACTGCGAACGCAGATAGTGGATTGCAGGTTTTTCCTTCACTTTATTTTGCGTTTCAAGTGGAACATGCAGCTTCAGACTTGTAGACCTGACGTTTTATAGTGGCCATGCGTTTACTAGCCTCATACCCAGTGTTTCCTCTTTTCCAAATTCACCTTTATCTACTAAACTAGGCCAGGCGTGGGAGTGTGTAAGCAAGCTAAAGCCCTACGCTACACTGTTCTTATCTAATACCTCATATTAATTGGTCAAGAATAATATGAGATGAAAGGAAACAGTTCAGTAAGTAGCAACTGGTTCAATGAAAAAAATCGGTTGATTCTTGTTTATAAAATAGAACTTTTTTTATCAGGACCATTAAAAGCCATGGAGTATTGGACGGCTGTTTCGCAGTAGTTTGGGACACTTTGGCAATACACACTCATTGGCTATATGAGGAAGTTGACTGGAATTCTAGTGATGAGTCATGACCAGTGGGGTACTGCAGATCGAATGTGATGATAGATACTCACTGATGACATTGGCTAGTGGTTGCGCTATATCGTGAATTGACAGAAGATCTCCATCTTCGTGGGCCATTGGATCGGACTACAGTGGCTGAGCGACCTAAGACTTTTTCTTGTAATCGGAAGATCCTGGACTCCAGCCCCAGTGAGTGAGTACTACTGAAGAGTCTCAAACTAGAAGGAAATACATTTCCAGTACTCTCTGGTTTTCAAAGCTTCTCTAACTGATATCACTTCATGATCAAACTTGGAAAAATAATTACAACAGCCAATTATACAACAAACAGGCATTTTTATGCACAATATAAATAATCAGATGAGTTTCATATTGTAAGATAACACAGTAGATAGTATTCATATGGGTTGAAAGTGGTAAGCTAAATGTAATTAGAGAATAGTATGAAGTGGATATAGCTGATTAGCTCTGATAAGTTCATGCAAAATGGGGGAAAGTAAATTGAAAGTCTAGTCCAGTGTACTATGTGAGTAGTAATCACACAGATGTAATGTAGGAATAGAATAAAGCACTCCAATAGAATACAATTCCATATTAGATAAACTTGTTTGATATAACACACACACACACTGATATGGTATTATTAATTGAATGACGACGTTTCAAGCACAACTGATTGCTCATAATCATTGATAAGATTATGAGCAATCTATTTGTGCTGGAAAAATGTTCCATTTATTAGTACTGTTTCACTGAGTGTTATATCATGTAAACTTATCTGATATAGAGTAATATACAGTAATTGATGTAATAAGACTGAAGAGAGTAGTTCACCACGAAATGATAAATATGTGAAATAGATGAAATCAAGTAGTATAAGCAGAAATAATGTAATTAATGATAAACTTTATATCCAACGTCACATAAAATCAAAGACTTTAGAGTGAAAATCAACAGGTTGGCAGAAGAACCAGTAGAACACGGGATTTCAAGTAAGCATAGGGAAAACAGAGGCGATCAAGATAACCAACCAACAACAACATGTACTAATCACTATCAACGTAAGAAATTTGAAAAAGGTTACTTCCTTCGCTTATTTAGGTAACATCGTTTCAACTGTAGGCACGAATGAGGATTTCAAAACTGGAATCAGAAAGGCGTATTGGATCTTCATCAATCTGAAGTCAGTTTGGAAATCTTCTCCACTCAGCATAAAGAGCAAGATTAGGATTTTCAACACGTCACGGAAAGTATTTCCAAAAGGTTTCAGAACTTTATCAACAGCTTTCTTCACTGTCTTCATACTGGAGATCAGGTGGCCAGAAAGAATCACCAACAGGAAGCTCTATGAAAAAACCAATCAAGAACCTATTGCTCAAGAAACATGACTAAGAAGATGGGAATTGACCGGGCGCATTTTGAGGGGACTGTTGATCGATATTACACGCTAGGCCATCGCTTGATTGGAACGCTAATGGGAAACAACGAGTGGAGTGTCAGAGGATAACGTGGAGAAAACAGTGTGAGAAGGAGATGAAGGCCCACAGCCAATCATGGAGCCAGCTATATAGGATTCTATAAGATGAAGAAAGTGGAGACGTTCTGCTTATGTCTTATGTTCCATTCGAAGCCCAGGAGAGCAATAACAGTAATCAAAATTGCTTGTTTAGGTCAATCTTAGTGTGAAAAATTTAGGCTGAAGTGATCTAACTCCGTATCGATTCAAAGCTTTGTGGTGTACTCTTTCACCCCTCATCAACACAATCTAATGTAACCCAACTTTAAATAAGCATATTGCGAAAGACGAATCCACTTTTAAATATTCGAGAATGCATGAAATTTCAGTTTATCAAATAAATCTATCAAATTTCTAAGTTTAACTCTTTTGAAAAGTAAACATAGTCTACTGGTGGTTTAGAATGCTGAACACAGAAAATTGTAGCTGGAAATACAAACTTTTAACCTAAATCTTGTGATATTCGCAAATGATGTTGTTTAAATAAATACCGATGTGGATTTTGAAAATGTGCGGCATTCCCCGATGTCATATCCATGTTCAATAGTATCCCTCTTGTTAAAACCGTAGATTATATTTGCGGGCAATTGGTAGAAAGAAATTTGTACGCTGGTCAACATTTGCGACTCTACAGGAACTGTTAATAAAATCCATAATGAATGTCCAGTTTCTGCCTAAGAATTAGGAAACAGTTGCGTAATATGTGTAGTAGTTTTAGCGAAGGCAAGTGTGAACGAGACAAGCATAGAAACGAATTGAAGTAATAGTTCTTATAAATGAAGATGACAAAAAATGAAGGGAGTAGCAAAACAAAAACCGAAAACTAAAGACTTGAAGGGAACTAGATCCATGGTAAATGTAGAGGTGGTACTAGTTTCTTTCGAATACATAGTTGCGCCTCTTCGGTACATATGGAGAGAGATTCTGTAGTACAAAGAAGTAGGATTTTTGTTTACTTTGTAAATGACTCTGAATGATGAATCAGTTGAGATGCTGTGATAGGTGTTAAGGAGATGTCTAATTATGACGCTTCTGGTTGAGCCAGTGCCACCTGTTTGCAGCCGTAATTAGTAATGCTCTCCAATACGTTTCAAAAGGACGTGCATAGAAGGACCTATTTACCTAGCTCTACACAATCATGTGAATTATTATATACAGGCTGAGTGATCATGTGCGAGAGTTTGTCTTTCACACCAATTCAAATCAGTGGGCGGCTAAAAATTATGGCTCTTAGTGTTGATACAGGAAAGATCTCTTTTAGGGAACTGAAGATATTTCTTTTTAGGATATCTGTCGCTGAGTCTCCTCTGAAGTTCAAACTCATATGTAACATTTTCTTTGACATTCAACTGCACTCTTCACTTTTTGACTTTGGTTTCATGTTCTTATTCACGAAAAGTTCCAGGTATCCATTTTAAGCCAGAACATTTTTGAGAAATAAGAGTTCTTCTTCTAAGAAGTCAGTGTTACGAAATCTTCTGATACGATGGGACAGTGAAATGATGACAGCTCTTTCTTGATTCACAGGATTCCAAATATAGAACCTTGTCAGCTGGCCATTCCATGATAGGTTTTCGGCGGATAGATCTTTTCACCATCGTCTCTTCGTGTCAATTCTACGTCCAAAAATGGAATTTTTGATTTTTCTCTCTAATTCCATTGTGAATTTAATTGAAGGATGACAGTTATCAAATTCTTGTAAGATACAGTTTAGATAGGAATCATCATGACAGACTGTAAAATTGTCGTCGACATACCTTTTGTCGACTGTTGACTTTAAGATTTCGTTTTCCAAACTGGCCATAAAGAAGTCTGCCAAAAGTGAGCCAAGAAGAGAGCTCATGGAAATTCTACTCTTCTGTCTGTAGATATTGTTGTTGAAGGGAAATTGTACATTAGTTATTGAGCATTTTTAGCAGTGCTCATAAAGCAGTTAAATTCACACATGAAGATGACAAAATATCCTACTAAACAGTAATATATTCAGTTGTTATTATAGTAGTTCTTTCTAAGCTTTACTCACTCAAACGATTTACTGACTGTATTTTATGTTCATAACTTTTAAACTAACTATCTGATAAGTAAGCAAATACTAGTTACAGACAATAACTAACCACCGGTCCGTGGACAAATGAATGCAATATTCCGTCCAATTAAAAGTACACAGATACCCACAGACCTTCTGATAGTATGTTCATGAATCACTGGTTTTCTGATACCTCTGAAAAATATCTCTTTTATGACATTTTTACGCTAGATTAGTAAAACAAAACTGGGAGAAAAAAAAGCTACACTTGTTTGATGAGTCATTTAGATAACTACAAAATGACTTCAGAACATTCAATGTTTCAAACCATTTAATTAAACAAATTTAATTTCGCGCTAAATATATGAAACAATGAATGACACAACACTTCTACCTTAAAAACCTTAAACTTTTGTTACTTATCGAATCAATCCCATGTGAATTAAACAATATGTTATAGCAAAGCAAATACTAATGTTAATCGGTTAGTTAAACAATCACTCAAACAATTAACTAATCAAAGGTCATTAGGTCAATAAAATTATGACTGTATGAATAGAGTTATTTAAACGCTATATATATATATATAATATTAGAAATTAATCCTCAGTTTTATCAATGTTATATATACACACACTCAAACACTCATACAAAGTATGAATTGCCTTCGTTAAGCTTTAAAATGCCATAGATTAAATTTACTTAAAAACCTCTTATTTACTTTTTTTTCAAATATACAAAAGGCATGCAAAGGAAGATGGGAAAGAGACAGAGAAAAGAAACAAAAGAGAGACTAACAGAAATACACAGTTGTATTGTTTCTATAAAATGAAAAGAAACAGAATAACAGCGAGAAAT